TTTTCTTGATGAATGTTTATAGTAAATTCCTGCCCTGCCAGGTCTCTGATCCGTCAATGTTTACCCAGTAGGAGGATGGACGTGGGGAGAGCGCGGGTGGGGAGGGGGATTAATGGTGAGAGGTGAAGTAGAGGTTGAAAGGTGGAACTCCAAAGCAGACATCAGGTTGTGGATGCAGGGGATGTTGGCAGAGTGCAGCTCTGCCTCTGCTGACCACAGAAAGGTCATGTCCCCAACAGTGGAGGCTACCCAGGCACATTTCTGCTTTTTATCATCTCTTATCTTAAGCTCATTCTTTTATCTTCTTTGTTGTTGGTTCTATTTGTAGGATAACTCACTGTCCTGCATCCTTTAGCTTTATTACACTTTTCAGATAAGAAGTAGATAACAAATAAACTGCTCCATTAATTAGGTCTTTTGTTTTCTGTCAACAAACTGATCGGGTTACTGATTTGCTCATGTGTAAAATGTTGCCTTCATGTGTGTAGCATGAATCCAGTGGTCTGCAGAAATAAAAGCATATTGGCATGCAGCCTTCAGCCCATATGTTTGCTTTGATAAGAACATTCTTAGTTCTGAGGAGTAACATTTCTCTCAAAATAACCTTTTCCCACCGTCTAAATTTGTTGGCAAAAACTTGACTAATTACGTCAACCAGGACTCTCCCACTGGCAACAGTATCCAAGGCTAAACAAAGTAGGCAGGGAGAAAAAAAAAAAAAAAGGTTTTCACACAGGAGTCAGATTTTGGCAGATGGATAATTCTGTAGTTTAGTCAAAGAAGTGTATTTTCTTTATTCAAACATTTCTTCCTCTCCTTGCTCTGTTTTCTGTTTCTTTTGTTGTACAATGAAAAGCAAGGCTACTCTGCTGTCTGTTAAATAATGTTTTTGATATTAAATTATTGTAGAGTGTTGTGAGCACTGACCTCTATTCCAGACTGGGTCCAGTTTATTAAGTTTCTAATAACTGAACCCAGCTGTTTACCTTTTGTGCTCTAACATAGCTTTGCTGTGTAGATCAATAAAAAAACCCCCCAAAAAAACAACCTACTCCTCCCCAAGGGAGTGGCTGGTTCCCTTTGGGATTAATACTGCAACGGATTCTCATTCCTCAAAATGAGTATTGTTCCCTTCCTGAAACTACAATGATCTAGTGACAAACTGTTGACAAGCAAAATGTGTAAAAGTTAAAAGTTTAAATGAACATGTTGACTAAAAGACACACGTGTTGCTTCCAACAGATCTGTCATGTTTTGGTCTCAGACTTTAGTTCCTGGAGTCGGCTGATCAGCAGTTCTCAGATTTGTCTCTGAGCTCGCTCAAGCCTCAGACTTCCACCCACCTTTATCCTCTCCTTGACTACTTCAGAAGTGTTTACCCAACAAACATTTCAGATGCCTGCTAACCTCAGTGCAGAGGAAGTTGACATTTCAACCCTCCTGCTGTCCTTTTCACTCTCTGGTCTGAGTCTCAGCTGCTGTCCTTTTCCCTTCTTTTTTTCTTATTGCCATGTCGTTTACTTCTGTGTTGATGCATTTTTCACAAGGTGACACTTTCATTTAGACTTTTGCTTAACTGTCTCTGACAGAATTTTCTTTTTTTTAATTACTCTGCATAGAAAAAGAATCATCATCTTAAGCAGATGTTTTTAAATGCATAAAACACAGAAAAAGAAAATTATCTCTGCCTCTTTCTGAGAGACCATTATTATGTCCCCAACCATCATGACGGCACCTGCTCTGTCAGTTTGGTGCATGGCATTTTTGAAAGGTACAGTCTCATGACAGAAATCCAGCTGAGGAGGAAGCGGAGCTGCAGATGTGCCAGTCAACCTTTTTTCTGCTGGAACCAAACAACAAAGCTGAGTCTAACTGCCCTGTCCCTCTTGCTGTGAGATCGGAAGCAGGGATCTTCCATGAATTCTCCATTTCTCTTCTCTGTAGCAAAAAAGTAGCTGTCAGTGTTGCCTTTATTATTGCCTGCTATGTAAATCAGCATTTTATTAGGGCTGAATGTGATGGAACAACACAGTTGAACACATTATTGTGAAGTGGATTTGAAAGAATGGATAGTTTTCAGCAGTTTTTCATGAGTAAAGCTTTGACAAGTGTAGGCTTTGTAAAGTTGTAAGTTTTGCATGTCTTATCAGCTTTGCACATAGAAACTGTTTTCTGCCTTGTCTTTACTGAAAAATAGCTAAGGTTCAGCTAGTTGGGGTGGAGATAACCTGTGAATATCAGTAAGTAAAGTTTAGTCACAGTGTCAAATTTTTTGTTTAAAAACTTTGACTAGGCCGTTCTGAAACACTACGCTTCTCCTCAGACAAACCACTCAGTGCTTTTCAGTCAGTTTAGGCTGACTCAACTCTTCAGTTTAGGTGGATGGCCATGTTTTCATAGGTTTACGTTGCGCCTGCTCATTCCATTTTCAGATGATTGAAGATTAGCGACTTTCTCCCAGACCCATCTGCTGTTGGTTTGCTAATGTTCCCCAGGAAAACACTTCTATTGAGGTACTACTTAATTGACCTTTGAAGGCTATTAATTTCACAGGATCCTATTAAGTGGTATCAGAGTATAAGGAGACTTAATACAAAGGCACAAAACGTTTTACCTTCCAATGAACAACTACTAAGTAATATGCTGTTCTGTCTCAAAACTCCCAATAAAACGCATTACAGTTTATGGTTCCATCAGTAATGTGACAAAATACTTTAGCGAGGCCCCGTTATCACGTCGTTTCATTCCTTATTTAAAAGGAAAACTTTGTGTCCTTGAGGTTGTCTGATACATTTGCTGACTCTCTTGCAAACAGATATCAAAGTGATGAGCAAAAATTACACACTCTGCCGTGGCCTACACACGCACACACACACATCAGTTAGTGATAAAGTTGGGAAAGAAGTGTGTGACAGTGAAGTCGGTCCAAAAGTCACTTCCACTCCTCAGCAAAGTCCTGACCTCTTTATCTCACCTTTGCCCAGACTCAGCGCTGTCCTCGTAGTGTCTTATCCGCTCTTATCCGTAGCAGTTTCAGGTCTTTTTCCTTGTTGATAGCTTTATAAACCTGCTTTCTAAGCTTTCCACAGCTGTGTTGCCCGTTTGACAGAGAATCGCTCCTTGTAATTTTTCCAGCATCCCTCTCTCCCGTCTGTCCCACGTCCCTTCGTCCCCTGTCAGCACTCCCTCATGGTGATGAAGCTCATTAACAGGCCTTCTCTGTCAGGTAGGATGGAGCAGGAATGTGAAGCCGGGAGGGGGCTCCCCTCAGTGTTTATATTTAGATCCTGGGATACTGCAGGTATGATGTGATGATTTTTAATGAGGTGCACAGCAGAGTTTGGATCATGTCAGTCTCACACAGAGATGGTGAAGAAGAGATGGAGTAGTAGCCATCGACTGTCGAGTTAATGGTTCCATTAGAGTCGGGTGTCATTGTCAGTGACTGTGCAGCCTGTTTATCCAACAAAGCTAAATAAGTGGAGTGATTATGTGTAATTGATTTCTACCTGAAGATACTTGGACTTACCTTTCGTTTGATTGTCATAACAATCACTCATGGGGAAAGTTCAAGACTTTAGGCAGATCAGTCCAGAACTTATCCCTTCTTCTTCAGCAGCTTATCCTATTTAATCTCATATATACGTCATTTTTTTCTTGCGGAACTTTTGTCAGGCAAAGGTTTGAGTTGCGTTCAGACATCTTCATTGCATTTTGTTACTAGAGGCTCCCACTGACCAGCTGCTAACATCTCTGCTAGCTGACTAGCTTTTTGCGTCTATCACATATGGAGTGTGACGAACAGAAGCGAAGGGCCGAAGTCATGGTCACTTGGGGTGAAACCCAACACACTGGAGGCGATGGCGACAACATTTTTCAGCTTTCTTGTGTCCCATCACAAGCTAGCGTGTTCATGTTGTGCACGAGCACAAAATTTCACATGCATGAATGCCACTGGCCACTTGGCTGGAGAACAGTTAGCGATTGTTGAATCATCATGCAAGTCCGGCAGAAAATTAAGTGAGAGGGACTGACAAATCCTAGAAAAGCAGATTTATCACCGGTTGCCTTGTTTTCACCACTGGCTTACTGCTGTTGCCAACACATACAAGGCTAGGGTCGTTCTATGCTAAGAAACGTTAACCCCCATAGTTTAGCACTATGGGGGTTAAAACTGTTGAGAAAGACAAACCGGCTGCCAAGAGCCACAAACTGACCCCAGAAAATGTCAGTTTTTGCTACGCTTGGTTGTAATACAACAGAATCACTCAACCATCACATGTTATTTGTAAAATCATAAGTCTCTAATTTGACTTGCTGAAACCTGCAGATACCCTGCTTCAACACACAGTGATGGGTGATTAATAGACTTTTATTGAACTACAGTTAATGCAGGAAAACATCTAAAACATGCAGAAGTTGGGAACCAAATCTCTGTAGGTTAGCTGGAAGCTTCCTCATCCAGTGGGTCCTTGCTACTATTTGCTTAGAAAGGAGCTAATTGAGGTGATTCTTACATGCGTCAAGGATGCCTCTGATATACACAAACCTGGATACCTGAAGTTTCCCAGGCTTGTTCCTCAGGGGGGAGACAACAGGGGAGACCCAGAACTATATTTGCCTTCCTGGCCTGTAAATGCATCGAGATAGCTCAGCAGGAGCTGAAGAGTTTTTCTAGAGAGTCTGTTGTTTTTTTTTTCCTGCTAGAAGTCAATCTTAGATAAACAATGATGAATGCAAAATAATGTCTGTAATATATCTCAATATAATTAATATAACAATGATATAGATTTTAACCCGGAAAATACTGCTTCAAGAAAGCATTGGTGGTTTTAGAGCACAGCCCTACTGTACAAACTGGTTAAGAAAATCTAGGTTCTGTTGTGTACTCAGAACAGACATCGCTTCGCTCTGGGACTATTTCAGATACTTTTGTCAGGTAAAATGTGTGTGTTATTTTAACAAGTAGGTGTTAATTTTGACGTTTTCCACTTTTTCAGAGCATAGTGTCAAAATACGCCTCTCAGTTTCGGGGGAACTCTCAGCATGATGCCCTTGAGTTTCTCCTCTGGCTGCTGGACAGAGTTCATGAAGATGCCAATCCAACTCCTGATAACAACAACAGCAGCAAGACCAAAGCCAGCAGTAAGGTGAGTTCACACTGCTCCGTTTCCCTGCCTGATTTTAAATGTTGAGTGTGTTTAAGAGGATAAAAAAACCTGCTGCAATACGATTCACACAAAGACTTACTTTCTCTTTTTACAATATATTTTCTTTAAAAATTTATCACTAAACTAATTAAAGAAATCTCAGCTGTCCCTCATGTTTTCTAGCTCGCCAGGTTTTCTTTGAAATGTTTGCTGGAAACTGTAAAAACCTCAAATTTTGAAGGATCTAGCTGATATGTTGAGTCTCACGTTTTCCACGCTGCACAGATGTTTTATGAGACAACATGAACAGATATCTTCTGCTCTGCAGCTCGACTTGTAAAAGTATTCAAACCCTTTGAGGTTGTAATTGGACAAGGAAAAAATGTTTGTTTTTATTTTGGTCAGAGAAATAATAATAATAATAATAATAATAATAAAAACTATTATTGTCAGATTGTGTATGACAATCAGAGATTAGGACTCTTTAGCCCGCTGTTCAGATGAGGCTGCCTGGTCTGATCCGAATCTTTGTGTTCAGCAGTTTGTTTTATTGTTGAGATGTAAAAGAAACAGCTGGGAAAGGGGGAAGCGTCTGCTCTGTCTCTGGGTGTGGGCGCTCACCTTGGATCTGTGCAGTTGGAATGTAGCCAGGACTGGATATGCTGTGCTGAGGGTGGAAGTGAAGGGCAGACATGATATGACATGACTGAGATGATGTAAATTTGATATTAATTTAATCAGAGTTGGTACAGGATGTTCTTTACAGATTCATCTTTATCTCCGCTGATTTCATGGTTTTCTCAGGACTAAATATACTAAAAGTAATTCCCAGAGGAATTTGATGAAGCATCCTCTTGTCATGACCTGGATCTCCTAATTGACCTCTTAATTGGATTGATTTTGTGATTATTGTTTGCATCACAATCAGATTTACTGGATGTGGCAACCTTCTGTGATCAACTCCCACTGTGACAAACCTCCACTGTGTTAAATATCTTCCCAGTGCACTGTGATTTTTAAATAAATAAATGAGTACAGTTGGTGTTTAAGAGTCACTGCTGAGCCACCCATCAATCAGCTCCTCCAAAAAGAGGACATGGAAGGACAGAGGGTGCTTTTAGTTGATTAACATTAAAATAATGGAGTAATCAATTCAGAATAGGCCGTGTCTCCATCTTAATGCACTGACAAATAGATTTTTTTTCTTTCCCCTTGTTTATGTGTCAAAGTGAATTTGTATTTATACTACATTTCAGTCAGTTTCTGCACAGTCTTATACTCATGGTTTTGTTGTTTTACAGTCCTGACCATTTGTAGTTACAATTTGTAAATATATCTACCTTTTTCCTTTTTTTTTTAAATGGCGAACATTCAGTCTCCTTCATCCAGTAAAAACGTCCACACAGAAGAGTGTTGTTCTCAGCACAGTCCAGTGGACCTTACTATGATGAGTTCACTGGGAAAAAAAATCTGATATTTGTGGTTCAGATTGTACCGGAATCAGAGCCGATCGGACTGGAAATGGATTCCAATTCCAGTCACCAAGCAAGTACAGCCAGTTGAACCTGTGTCTGTTACTTATTGATTGCAATTGGAATCAATTGCAATCAATAAGTAACAGAATTGCAGTTTTAAGAAGAATGTCCTTCTTAAAACTGTTCTTCTTAAGAACTGCTCTTCTTGTATGCTTCAATCAAAAGAAGCTATTTTTTGTTCTTGATGCCACAGTGAAGAACAATTTGTTTTAATTTGTGAAAATGGTTAGATTTCATTGTGAATCAAAACTTCAGAGAAAACTGAATGGAGGTGTGGTTTATTATCATTTAATTAAAGATAAAATGGGTATAGCCAATCCCTGGATAAATTATCCACCAATGAAACAGCCTGAAAATCGCCAGAGTTGTTATTTAGAGATCTCTAAGTAAGACTCTGATAAATGACAATAAAACATGTTTAATTCTCTTTGGACTTGTTTTGAGATGTGGATAATCTATTGCACAAGTTGTCCCTGAAAATGTCTTAAAAAAGTTCAGCTGTTGAGATTTCCCCTCTCCTCAAAGCAAGTCTGTTTTTCAACTTACCCCCCCCCCCCAATAAATAATACTTCCTGACATTTACAAAAATAATTGTTACACAGAATGAATCCCACACTTCATAATTAAGCATATATTTAATCATCAAACGTCAGCCTAACATTTTTATGAATAGATTTTCGTTTTTCTCCTTTGTTCTTGCGCTGTTTTTTTTTTTCTTCCAAGTGTTACATCTTTCAGGCTTTAGCCTCCACTTCCATGACTGCTCACAGTTACATGTTTTTAAAGACAAGACTGAAATGGTTTTTGCCAGATAATAATAGGAGCATGTTGGAGAACAAGGACAACAAACAATAAAGTAAAATTACTTGGCAGTGGGAGAGGGAGGCAGGGAAGTGTTACAGCCTTGAATCTACAATAACGCAGCTCGGGAAATTGAGATTAGGTCAGCAAATTATTGTTGTTCTCATTATTGATTTGTCTGTGCATAATTTTGTCTCGTAATCTACAAGTATGTTTTGTTCTAAACAACATGGGCACATAAAACGAATACTGGTGACTCTTTTCCAATGGTTAAAGTCAGATTTTCTTTCCATTCCATCTTATGTGAACTGCAGTGCTGTACCAAAATAAACACTAAACAGAAATAAAAATGGATTCCAGAATACCGCAGGACCTGGCAGTCTTGAAAAGTTTTATTTTTATTTTTATTTTTTTACTGTTTCATCAGAAAATAGCAAGGAGCAGCTTGCAAGATTTAGATGTTGCATTGAAAGTATTCCTGCAGACGTTTATCCAAAATATGCAACAGCTGACAGAATCCTTCCTGTTGTGAAATTCCCCGATGGTGCACTAAGAATACAGTAAGAATCAACACTGAAACACACATGAAAACTTGCTGTGTTTTATCAGCGTATGCAGGCTTTTTAAAATGGGAACGGTGTATCAATTACATTTTTTGTTTGGAATCATAAGTAAAACCATGCTTTCAACCATTTTGCTCTCACGCATGTAGCATCATTTTTTGTTCTAATGTCATTTTTATTATAGAACTTCAAGAGAAGATCAAGTTAAATCAATATTGGGCAGTAAAAATAATACAAAAAGCAGGTATTAGCAATCGTGATCAATGCGTATCCATATTTAACACCCTAACTAATACTGGAAGTACAGTAGCTAACGTTTTACCTTCATTATGCAATAACTTCTATACTAAAGCTTGTTGTTGTTTGACATACCCTGTTAACATAAACTGTAAGTTTTGTTCATGGACTGGAGAAAGGCGTCAGTTTCTGGCCACTAGCTGGTTTCTCATTTCTACCTTAATATTTTACTCTGCAGCTGATGTCCAGTGCAATAAAAACTAACAGAGAAGGCATCTGGACTCCAAGGACAAGAGATACATTTGCATAAGCTTATATAACAAGCTGATTTGCTGGCATACTAAGGAATATCAAGGCCACATGTCCATCATCTAAACAAGCATTTGTATTAAATGCTAGTTTTATAATCACTGTCCTTTGAGAACACCGTGCCAGATAAATCTAAACCCCATTATCACTTTGGAGGCTGTAACTTGTCTTGTATGTTCCTGTAATATTATGCCCAATTTGTTTCCCTTTCTCCATTTTCTCACATATTACAGGGAAAGTGACTCACAAAGGCTGCCTGTCTCTTTAAATCTAGCTAATGGAAATCCAAATAAATCAATAAATCCACCCATCCATTCTCTAAACCGCTTATCATGTTCAAGCTGGCAAGGAGGCTAAAATCTCTGCCAGCATGAGTTAAATAGCACACAGGACACAACACAGGCTTGTCACAAGTCAGTGACAGTGCACACTAATGTTCACTAACATGCCCGCACGAGTTGATCCCAGGCGTTTTCTTGGAAATTACTCTGAAATTTGATGTACCTACGTTATGTCAACATTTGGATAAAATGAAACTGGCGTTCACAGAGGAATGTGCACACCTGTGGCAGTGCATTAACATATGTTAGCTGTTCCGTCTGTCTCGCGCAATAATTGAGGAATATGTTTACCAACCATGAGTAGCCCAGCTCTGTAAGAGTACTTTTGGTGTTCAGCAAAACATGGTATGCGTTGTTGTCATATGTCCTGAAAATCAGTTTAAAACAAGCAATGAAATGAAACAAAATGAAATGAAATGAAACGAAACGAACACCCACAAATTTGTATTTGCTTCTGAAGGAGCTTGTTTGGCCAGTTTTCCAATAAATTTCAACATCCATACAATTACTCATGATCGGAATGGAAATGAGTCCGGTGAAAATGTCATAACATCGTCAGGCTGTCATGAGGAAAATCACCGAGGTTCTGATTCTTCATTGCTGTCTGCTCGGCTGCTGATGCAAACGTGTTGCAGGCAGTGCTCAGCTTGTTGCAAGCAGTCGGCTTGGAGTTCCTACTGGACAAAGAACGGAACTTCTTTACCTTTACCATTTCTGCTAAAAACATACAGCCTTTCATCCCCAAACAAAATTCACCACCTTGATTTAATAAAACAAATGAGTAAGGACCTCCCATTGGGTAATTACTGCATAGATGATTATGTTTCAGCTGGCAGCAAGTTATTTAACTCAAACCGACGCAGCAAGGGGCTTCTCATTTCTTTCCCAACAGTGTCTGAAGATCTCTTTCAAAGGGCCAAATTGTTGGTGTGCATCAAGCAAATTATAATTTCAGATGACTTGCAAATTTCTAAACCTGAGTTATGAGTTGTCTAAGTAATTGTTGTACACTGTGAAGATGGAGGTGAACCATCAAATTTGCCAGATAAATGTTTGGAAATCAAATTGTGAAAAAGTAATCATACTGACCACTTAAACAATTCTCAGTCTGGCTGATAGTTTTACCCTCTGGGTCCATAGATTCTGGATTTATAGCCGAGAAATGCCCTAGGATAGTTATTCTCTCTCAATAAGATTGAAACGGTTTATCTGCT